AAAAACTGCGGGGAACTCTGCAAAAAACGCATCTTCGCACGGACAGCCCGTGCGTTGGCCAATTATAATTTTCTTTTGCCCAGACTGATTTTGGCCTGCGCTTTGTACGAGACAGATCGGTCAAAAGTTAGCTGCTCGGGAATAGCTTCAAGAACACAATAGCTTCAAGCTTCAAGGCCGTTTCTTCTCTATCTGTAGCGATCTAAATGAATTCACCGTAAGACACGCAATCAGACACGTACATCCATCATGTTTTTTAAGAGAATTCATTCTGAATTAGCTGATTAGCTGGGAATGCATTAAATAATCCGGAATCTCCATCCCCGATTATAGAGTGTCAGGAATTAAATTTCCTGTTCTGGGCTACTTAAGTATCGGCATCTGCTACAGCTCTCTAGAATGACATTCCTTTTCTGTTGATTTTGCACCAATCTGTGATTGTATTGCACTTGGCAAAACTATACAGTCGTTTCTGGCAGGTACTGAAGTGCAAGCACACACTAAAATGCCTTTCCTGACACGAACAAAACGGGCGGCAAGCTCTCGGTGAATGACGATTGGTATCTTTGCCTATGATTAATTAATGTACTCGGTGCCCCTTCGTTGATCGCTTTTGAAAAAACCTGATGATCACCCCACATTCTGCATACAATTTTCCCTTGTGCCTGATTTCACTGATTGACTAAGACTCGGTCACCAGATGAATTTCTTGTCAGTTCACATTAATCCTTGGTAGAATGAAAAATGCAGAGCACAGTTTCCTTGTCGCTTAGGTTAAACATGTGTGCTTGATCTTTTATGCTTATGTGGAGGATTCTATGACGCTTTTTAAGATACGGCAATCGCGGATCAGTAGCTCAGATTCCCTGACGCTTTACTCCTCCTTCCCGTGTAGCTATAGCCCACATTCTAGTCTGCATAATTTTTCCCCCCCCCCCCCCCCCTAATTAACAACGTCCCTTGAGCAAGTGATTTATAAATCAGTTAGGTACCATTATGATTTAACACCTTCATAGAATTCTGCATCGCTTTCATACTTTTCAGCAGTTTTTTACCGTTCGAATCCATAAATTTGCCTTAGCTTGACTTGTTTCTTTGAAAACCACATTTGGCACTTACTGACTGGATTTGGCCTCTCACTACACCTCTCTTCTTTCTTTCGCTGTTACATGGTACCTTTAAATGCCCAGGAAGCATAATAGTGAATCATAATTTCTATATAACGAGTTTCAGATCCCTTATTTATCCCTAACCTACTCTTCCTCTCCATCTTCTTCCTCCTGCCACCTCGCTCACTCCCCAAGAACAAACAAACACAAGGGAAAGCACGGGATTTATACGGTATCATATTATGATTTACTGCTTTTTACTAGTATTGGCATTACCATTACGTCATCATGACGAAATACCTCCTGGTCCCGCATTTCACGAATTTCACCCTGAGGCTAATCTTTGGACACCTACCTCCTTTAGAGTTACGCAGTCCTTTTGAACTGAAATCACCTGGGAATAAAAGCGGCCCCCTCCACCTTTTGTTCATCTAGTAGTTCCGTCAATCTTCATGAGCTTCCTAGAACACGTCGATATTTCCTTCTTTTCCATGTCTTTTTTATGATTAGTATTATATACAAACATATTGTATGTATATATATATATGTGTATATATGTATATACACATATATATATATATACACATATATATATATATATAACTAGTTGCCCTGCTGCAATGTGGTTTACAAATAAATAGATAAATATGTATATAAGCAAACATATATACATAGAACTAGTTACCTTGCCCTGTACACACACTCATGCTTAGTAATCTAAGCGTTGGGTATTAAGGTCACGATGTGCAGTCCGTTGCAAAAGCTCTCCTTAAAACTGAGTTTTATTTGAACAAGCAGATTCTACACAATACGTAATTCTTACGGCAAAATCATAACACGAGGTTTGTATTTATATAATAAATCCTATTGAATTAGGATATTAAATAGAAGCACCACGATTATTATTTGTTTATCAGCGTTCTTCGATTTTGACGGCTGTATATTTACTGTTATGGTAAGGGTCGTTGTATGCGGTGGTTCAATTGTCCACAACAGATCTTCTTTGGGAGGAAGTTGATCCGGGAACCGACTCTTCGTGGCAACTGCTGTGAAACTTTAGAAATCCAAAGTGGTGAATATAGAGAGAAGATAGGAAAGTGAATGTATTTAAAGATAAAGTAAAAAATGAGAAGGAAAAAGAAGAGAAGGAGAACGAAGTGGAAAAAGGGGGAAAGGGAGTATAAAATTATTTGTAATTGGTAAGAAATGTTTCGGTCCATTAAGTCATATACATTTTTTACCGTTATCACAATTGGACCTCGTCAGTACGACGACTGTGGTGACAAAGACAATTTAGACAAAGGTTTAGTGTGTATGTAGTGTAAAAATTTTTAAGACAGAATACAAAAAAGAAAAAGAAGTTATGTGATTTGGGTGTTTTTAAACGGGAACAGTGTTTATTAAAAATTTAAATAAAACACTTTCAGTTTAACAAATTAAACCTGTTTTAAAGTCGTCACTGGTTGGAGTTCCAATTTTCTCGAAATACCAAATTCCAAATTCGCTATCTTCTAACTCTTCGGCCACACTCTAACCTTTTTTTTCAGGACCCGGTCGCACTTCAACTATCGCACAGCAACCTGGCGCACCACAACCAAGTTTCTATCCAGGCCAGCCGCCCGTCAACCTCTTCTTCTCTAAGACTGTTCTAAAGCCTTTGGGCCAAGGCCCAATTATAAAGCGCGCGTGATCTTTCGCGCGCACTTTGTTTTTACAGAGCGTAACAATTATTTGATCACAGAAAAAATTTTTGTCGCATTTTCTCGAGAGTTCTCGACATTGGGAGAAATTTGCAGCTTTATCCGATAATAACTGCTTTTTTCCAATTCCCATTCTTCATCTGTCCGTAAAATTCAAATTCCTGGGTCAAGGCATCGTAAAAGCTAACCCCTATCCTTGCCACTTAAGTTTTGCCCCTAGTCCTAAAGCTCGACCTTCCCTCCAATAAACCTACTTCCCTTTGTCGCCATTATCTACCCCGGCTCCCTCCAAAATAACTTATTCATCAACAAATTAATCTTTCCTTTAAAAAGGAGGCCCAATAAGCATGCCATAACCGGCACCACTCCCTCGTCGCCGCACTCGCTTCGCTAGCGTGAAGTCATTATTGACTCAACGCTAAAAAACAGCGCGGCGGTTCCCAAACAACTCTCCGGCAGCGGGGCCAACCCCGCCGCCTTACCACTGTCCCCCTGGCCCGGACTCTTTTTCCCCTGTACCCCTGGTACTTCTCGCCCCCCCCCCCTTCCCTTCCCACCCCCAACCCTCCTCCCGTCTCCCCGCTCTCTGTAAAATATGCTGTGGATATTATAAAATTATATAATATTTTCTTTTTTCTTTGTTCTTTTCCCCTTTTTGCCCTATGAATCATAACGCAATTTTCATTTTTTCGTGTTTACGGTTTTCTACATTTTCATCCTTCTTTTTTATTACACCCTTAAAAACCTAATTCTACATTCGTCCCCTTTGTCCCATTTTGCTCCTATTTTGGAATGCGCTTGCATTCCCAGCCATTTTACC